ACGATATTTAACATCTCCATACTCTTTAAGTATATTTTGCATTTGTGGTAATGGTTGTGATGGCTTAGAAATTTTTAAAAGAATATAATCCGCAAATAGAGTTATATTTTGTGGTTTTAAAGTATCAATGCCACGTATATTTGGATTTTCCCTTATTTTGAATGCTAGTGGTTACAATGCTATTATACATAACAGGGGAGACATTGGGCACCCTTGTCTCGTTCCATTATTTATTTAGAAAAAATCTGACAAATAACCTGCTAAAATCACTGCTGCTGTAGGACCTGAGTATAAAGCTAAAGTTGCTCTTATGAATTCTGGTGGTATATTATATTTTTCGATAACTTGTGCCAAATACTGCCAATGTAGTCGATCGAATGTCTTCTCTGCATCTAAAGAAAGGAGAAGGCATCCGATCTTATATTCTTCAGCATATGACATTACAACTATTATTTTATGGGTGGCATCTAAAATTTGGCGTCCCTTTAAAAACCCTACTTGATCTTATTTTTATCAATTCTGTTAGTAGAGGGAACAAGCGTGTTGCCAAAATTTAAAAATGATATTATACGTAGATTAGAGCATTGATTTGGAGTTTTTCCAAGTTTGGGTAGTGCCACAAAATGTGCTTGCACATGTCTTTTGGCATTATTCCTCATTTCATAATTTTATTGAAGAAGAGAAGAAGATGGGGGCACCATTTTGGACCAAACTTTTTATAATATAAAGAAGAAAACCCGTCTGGCCCCGGGGATTTCCTCTGTGGTATGCCTCTTATTGCTTCCATTCGTTTTTTGCGGTCTCTATGTCTAAATAGAGTTTGGGATTGTATTTTATTAATCTTTGGTAACCATATATTTTTAAGATATTCTGGGATGTTTTCCATTTAAATTTATTTAAATTATATAATGAGGTGTAAACGTTTGCACAGATATTTGCCATTTCTTGTGGATCATAATTTATTTCCCCTTCTTCATTTAGCTTTCTGGTGTAATTTATTGGTCTTTATTTAAAGTGAAATATTCCTAGATTGCTGCCGCTAACATGTTTGTAATATAATGTAAAACTATCGTTAATTTTCCATCTAAATACAGACTTTCCGTGTTTTGTTAATGTTAAATTTAATATCAATGAGCTATGGTCTGACCAAGTAATTTTGATTTTAGATTGTAAAGAAATTAATAATCTATTAAAAAATGTAATACTTAAACGCAGATCTAAGACCCGCCTTGCATCATACATTCCATATTCATGCATCAGATTTTCAAATCTACTTTTGTGGAGTTTTCTTAGCTGAAGGGGCAATGACTGAAACCTTACAACGAGGTCTGGAGTCATAGATGGTGATGCACCCGCTGGTCAAGGTAGGCGGAATATGCCATCCAGTTTCACTGCCTTGGCATGCTTGGGCAGTAAGAAGACTGCAAGAAACCTCCGCGGTCAGCGGGACTTACTCGTGGATTGCCTGGAACCATTTTCGGCATGACAAACACACGAACACCTGGTCTCTATGGAAGTCCAGTCTGACCGATTTCAACTTTTCATATGGAACCAGATGCTGTATAACTGTGGTAGTTTTCGTGTAATTACACACGAACGGAGACCGGCTCTTGCTACCAATTTCATGGAACTCTAACTCGGATACAACCACATGGCGAGCCGGTCAAACTTCCACAAGATGCGACACGAAAACTACTGAACGGATTTTCGTGAAATTTGGATATGTTACTCCTAGTATCCTCAGCTACCCAGGGATGTGATATTTCTGTTATATGTAGAAAGTATATTTTTGAAAATGTGGAAAATTGTTAATGTTTCTGGCCAGCAGATAATTGAGTTTAGTATGTTGCTGAAACTCAATTATCTAGCATGGCCCAGAGGAGGAACTTGTACTGCATAAATTGAATGCCTGTTGCTTCCATTAAATCAGTCTTGTTCCAGCATTAAGCTTTGGCTCATGTGTGGATTATTTGGTGATACCAGCGTTATTTTACCCTGTGGATTATTGTTGTTATTCTGCTATTGGGAAAAAGGTAATACTGGACGGTGATACAGATTACTACCGTCACAACTGGTTGGCAGTGGCGGGATTTTCCTTTTTTTCCTGCACCAAGAATCCAAGCAGACACTGGGGGCAGTGAATGGAAGGCTGGTACACACTGCTTAAACGAAACACGTTAAAGGAACTGTTGGAGGTTCGGGGAAGGATTGCTAACAAAACCAAGCGGGTCATTATTGCTGAGTTAATGGAGCTAGACCGGGAGAACTTGGTTGCAGCAACACCGACCATTCGGGAGATGGAGACACCGGTAATTTGGGAAAATGGATCGCCAGCCAACAGGGAGATTCTGGCGAGATTAGCATGGTTCGGTCCGAACCCAACGGCTGACATTGTGCTACAGGTAATGAACATTGTAGCAGAAGAGGCAAAACAAAAGATAGAAATAGAGCTGCAGATGAAGCTGGCTGAAACCCAGCGGGCAGCAGCAAGTTCCCCAAGTGGAGAAAAAAGCACAGCAGACACAAGGAAGATTCCTTTCAGTGCCTTTAAAGCTTTTAATGAGAAGGACTGCGAGATTGATAGCTATCTAGCGGATTTTGAGCGACAGTGTAACCTGCACAGAGTGGCTGCAGACGAGTGGGTTTCAATATTGGCTGGGAAGTTGTCAGGCAAAGCCGGCGATGCTTTCCGGGCAGTACCAGAGCAGGAGATTCACAGCTACGCAAGGGTTAAAGAGGCAATCCTGGCTCGGTACACGGTGACCCCGGAGACATACCGCCAAAAGTTCAGAGAATCACGCAAAACAGACAAGGATTCTGATGCAGAATGGGCCTGCTAGTTACAACTGTCTGCATCCAATTGGGTCAACAGTAGCCAGGCTACCACCGCGGATGACATTCTACAGTTAATACTCCTGGAGCAGTTCTACGACCACATCTAGACAGATATCAAAGACTGGGTGAGAGACCGCAGACCCCTCTCCTTACCGGAGGCTGCCAAGCTAGCAGATGAGTATGCGGATACTCGTAAGACCACACGGGTCACCCCACAGGTCCAACCCATCTGACCGGCAGTACCATCAACCCCAACAGTAACGAGGTACCAAACCCCCAGCCGACCGGTAGCCTCCAACCCCCGCTACCCACGTCAGGCTGGCAACGAACTCCGCTGCTTGGACTCGCCCTGGATTCCATCAACCCCAAGCAACAGCCCATTGTGTGGATTATCCGGTACACACTGCTTGGAACGCTAAGGGGCTGAGTCGTGAGGAATCCATGGGCACCCAAATGAAGCTCTCCTAGTCTAATCTGCCATCACTGACAATCGAAAACACCATTGTCAGATGGTAATGGTCAACAGGAAGACAGCCCGGGGCCTAAGGGACAGTGGCGCTACAATCACCCTTGTTCAACGGCATCTTATTGATAACTCTGAAAGACCGGGGAAATCTATTGCTGTGAGAGTGGCAGGGGGGGCAGTCTATCGGATTCCTACCGCACAAGTACATCTAGACTGGGGTGCTGGAGCTGGCAATGTCCAAGTGGGTGTGATGAAAGAATTGCCCTCCGAAGTCGTATTGGGCAATGAAATTGGTCCTCTAACTTCTGCTTTTGTATCCACACCCCCTAACAAGGCTCAAGCGGTAACCACCAGAGTTCAAAGTTGTGTTGCCGAGAGCCATCCACCTCCTACTGAGACCCAGGTAAGCCAACCTACCCTACCCCTGACCGTAGAGCCCCTTCCCTGGGATACCCCGAAGGACTTTGGGAGGGAAGTAGCTGGAGACCCCTCACTCAGAAAGTACAGGGAAAAAGCTAAGTGAGGACACGGAGGATTAGAGAAGGAGAAATTAATCTGGGAGAATGTCCGTTTGTACAGGCTCACCGAGACACGGGTCAACGCACCCGGGCCCCGGCAAAAACGCCAGCTGGTAGTCCCACGGAAATACCGGCAGGAGTTATTGAGAATTGGGCACGATGTTCCCCTAGCAGGACACATGGGAATACGCCGGACATTACATCGTGTAACCCAGAACATCTTCTGGCCTGGGGTATCCGACGACGTCCGGGCATATTGCCAGACGTGCGAGATATGTCAAAGGGTAGGTAACAAGGGAGACCACCCGAAAGCCAAACTGGTCACTATGCCAATAATAGAAGAACCTTTCACGAGAGTAGCCGTAGACCTTGTAGGACCCCTGGCCCAACCTAGCCATTCTGGTAAGCGCTATATACTTACTGTAGTGGACTACGCTACTCGCTACCCTGAAGCTGTAGCCCTCTCTAATATCCAGGTTGAGACAGTGGCTGATGCTCTGGTCAAGATATTCTCCCGAGTGGGAATTCCCAAAGAGATTCTATCCGACCAGGGTACGCAGTTCACGGCCGAGATGACCCAGCAGATATGGAAGGTCTGTGGAGTTAAATCCCTGACCAGATCCCCATACCATCCCCAGACCAATGGCCTGTGTGAACGCTTCAACGGGATGTTGAAGCAAATGCTGAAGTCATTCACGGGGACATGGGCGGACTGACCAGTCGGGCACTTCGGACATGGTCCGAGGGCCCGGCCGGGAGGGGGGCCCACCGCCAGGGCCGCCTTCAGGGGGCCCGGCGGCAGGGCTGGATTGGGGGTGGCATCTGGGGACTTCAGAAGAAGGTGCCACTGGGTGGCCGGTCCGGTGGCACACTCTGAGGGGGCCGGCCACGTTATCATGCTCCCTGCGGTTCCCACAATTCCCAGCACAGGATGTGGGAACCACAACGGAGCATGAGAGAGAGACATGCTCCCCCCTCCTTCAACCCTCAGCGTTAGTGAGAGGAGTGTCGCCGGACCGGTGAGGCTGCCACCCAGCCTGGCGGCTCCAGCATGAAATGTGGCCGGCCCCCTCAGAGTGTGCCACCGGACCGGGAGGGGGGAGAAAGAGAGGGAACAATGAGACACAGGGAGAGAGAGAGGGGGGAATAGAGAGATGGGGAGGAGGAGAAAGAGACAGAGAGGGAAGAATGAGACACAGGGGGAGAAAGAGGGGGAATAGAGAGATGGGGAGGGGGAGACAGAGACAGAGAGGGAAGAATGAGACACAGGGGGAGAAAGAGGGGGAATAGAGAGATGGGGAGGGGGAGAAAGAGACAGAGAGGGAAGAATGAGACACAGGGGGAGAAAGAGGGGGAATAGAGAGTTGGGGGAGGGGGGAGAAAGAGAGGGAAGAATGAGACACAAGGGGAGAAAGAGATGGGGAGGGGGGAGAAAGAGACAGAGAGGAAGAGAGATGTGGGGGAGAGAGACACACAGGGAAAGGGAGGAGAAAGAAACAGTGGAAGAGAGAGAGACAGGGAGAAAGGAGAGAGACACACAAGGGGAGGGGGAGAAAGAGGCAGTGGGGTAAGAGAGACTGGGAAGGAGAGGGGAGACATAGACACAGGAGCAGTGAGGGGGACAAAGAAACATACAGAGGGACGGGGGAGACAAAAAGGCACACAGAAGGGCTGTATATATCACTGGTGGATCCAGGGGGGCAACGGGGCAATTGCCCCCCTCCCCTGTCCTCACGCACCGTGCGGGCAGCTGGCAGGGGAGGGAGGAAGAGAGGACCCGGGAGCTCAGCCTGCAGCTCCTCTGGGTCCTTCTTGCGCGAGCACAGAGCGTTGCCGCGGTTACCATGGCAACGTTACCGCTCTTGCGAGAGTCAACTCTAGCCCTGGAGCTACGGGCTAGAGTTCACTCTCAACACTGTGACCACCAGGGATTCCTGGTGGTCGCAGTGGTGAGAGTGAACTCTAGCCCCATAAACACACTACCCCCAAACACACACCATACACATTCACACACTGCCCCCACACACACACCATACACATTCACACACTGCCCCCACATACACCATACACATTTACACACATTGCCTCACACACACACATACACTGCCCACCCATATACACACAGACCCCCATACACAGCCCCCCATACTAACATTGCCACACACATACACAGCCCCCTCATACACACATTGCCCCACACACCCTACACATTCACACACTACACCCCCACACACACACTGAACCTTTCACACACACTGCACCCCTCACACATTGCACCACTGCTCCTATACCCTACTACAGTCGCATATCCAAGCAGACCCCAGGTAAGTTGTCAAACTGTTCTTAAACGGTTTAACTACTTACTCTGGGACTGGGGCCCGGCCCTCCTGGCACCATAACCACTACACAGAGCATGGATTATTTCTTTAAATAATCTATAAGTGCCCCAGTAGCCAGCCAGCCCACAGGCCGGCCAGTCAGCCAGCAAACCCACAGGCTGGCCAGTAGCCAGCCAGCCCACAAGCCACTAGTTAGCCAGCCCACAGGCCAGCCAGGCCAGTAGCCAGCCCACAGGCCTACAGCAAGCCACAGGCTTACAGCCAGCAAGCCCACAGCCTGCCAGTTGCAGCCAGCAAGCCACAGCCTGCCAGCCACATCCAGCAAGCCCACAGCCTGCCGGCAGTAGCCAGCAAGCCCACAGCCTGCCAGCCGCAGCCAGAAAGCCCACAGCCTGCCAGCCAGCAACAGTAATTAAGGTAAGAGGAGCCAACTTGGCCTAGGTATCAGCGAGCTATGTTGTGTTGCTATATTGTGAATAGGAACCAGAATGTTGGAGAGACCCCCCTCCAGGCCACATTAGACTTCATTGTAGTCTCTAATGTGTCCTAGGGGAGATTCTTTCTAACACACTCTCTAAAGGACACTGAGATAGCCTCTGCTAGAATGACCCCCCCTCCATGGCCCATTAGCCCCCAATTGTAGTCTCTACTGGGGCCTGGAGGCAACTGTTTCCAGAAGGGGCTATCTAATGGATGCTGAGATGGCCTCTGTTAGAAAGACCCCCTACCAAGCCTATTAGACTCCATTGTAGTCTCTAATGTGGCTTGGAGGGGATTCTTTCTAACACACTCTCTAAAGGACACTGAGATAGCCTCTGCTAGAAAGACCCCTCTCCATGGCCCATTAGCCCTCAATTGTAGTCTCTACTGGGGCCTCGAAGGGATTATTGCACTTTTGTTCCTTGTGTCTAAAGATTGTGTAGGGTGTGGCAGGAGGTGGTTCATGGAGGCGGGACAAGGAAGGCACTTGCTGCAGATTATGGGTGGGGCCTGTAAGGGGGCCCTTGATTTATTTTGCCCAGGGGCCCTGAGGGTTCTCAGTCCGCCCCTGCACGGGGGCCTACAAAGATTGGGAGCGATTCCTGCCGCACCTCCTCTTCGCATGCCGGGAGGTGCCCCAGGAATCAACCGGGTTTTTACCCTTCGAACTGCTATATGGGAGACGGGTGAGAGGGCCCCTAGATCTTATCAAAGACCACTGGGAGGGGCAGACCGAGATAGAGGGGACCCTGATTGTGCCCTACATGCTGGAACTGTGGGACCGCATGGAGGAATTGGCCCAGACTGTGCAGGAAAACCTCCAGGTGGCTCAGCAACATCAGAAAGTATGGTATGACCGACGAGCTAGGTACCGGAGCTTTCAGAATGGACAAAAGGTCATGGTGCTAAAATCAGTCCGAACTGACAAGCTCCAGGCTGCCTGGCAGGGCCCCTATAAGGTTATAGGACAGGTGTGCGATACCACCTACACTGTAGCCAGCTGCAAGAATGAAGATTTGAAACGAACGTTTCACATCAACATGCTCAAAGCATATAACAAGAGGGCTGAGGATGTGACCGCCATCTGTGCTCCAGCTGGAGAGGACACGGAGGCTTTGTCCCTACCCGACCTCTTAGGGAGTAACGGGGAGACGAGGCCAGTAGAAAAAGTCCAGTATGGGGAACAGCTGGAGCCGCAAGAGAGGGCACAAGCTATCCGCTTACTGCAAGCCAAACAGGCCACGTAAGAGAGACTGGGAAGGAGTCCCTAATATGTTCATATTTTTATATTAAATACATTTCACTATGTCAATCAGAGAATGTTGTTCAAATATAACATCATAAAACCCTTTTTAGCCCTACCAGATAATATGTTCCATTGTGACCCAATTTCTCCAAATATAAGCTCAGTATATTAGAGTTCCTATTTTGAATCCATGAGCCTCTCTCCATCTTTTTTTGGTATAACAACTGGTTCTCCACTACCTGCCATATAGGAGTATCCGTTGTCCTCCAATGCCTTGCAATAACAATCTTAGCTGCCATAAGAATATGCGTAGCGAAGTCGTGACTATATTTTGACTATGACCTTAAACCTATGTGGAGTAAAAATAATTCTGGACAAGAGGTAACCTTCTTCTCACTAATATAACTGTATCAATGGGCACCTCCACCATATATTCATATAATCTCCATTGTTAATTCCACATCTCCAGCAGTTATTTGATACTTCTGGGTATATTCTAGATAGAAGTGTAGGAACTCTATACCACCTATTCGTAATTTCATAATGAGTCTCAATTATATTTAAATTGTGTATAGCCTTGTTAATATAGGCTAAGGAGTACATCCATTCTTCTTCATTAATATATTTAAATCTTTTTGCCATTTTTTCAGGGCTTTTATTTTATATTTTTTTCTCCACCCCTTCCATTATTCTACTACAATGTGCCAGCAAGCCCTTATTTTGCTTTTTTTGAAGAAGTTGGTTAGCCTATCTATTTGATCCGTATCACCAAGATATAAATGTTTTTTAATATATCCTTTTACTCTCAGATAGTTAAATATTTCGGTGTTCGGTAAACCATGTTCCTGTTGTATCTGATGGAAGGGCTTTATATCATTATGAGCAATACGTCTCAATTTTAGTTATACCCAGTACTTATACTCAGTACTTGTTATATTTTAGGATCTCAATATCATTTTCCACAATCACATTATTATTTAGACCCATGCTTATTCTGATCTTGTTCCAATTTTGAGTTGTATCAATATGGTTCTTGAGAACAATTTTTGATTTTTACTTTTTCTTTTCTTTATTTTTTGCTGAGTTTTATCTTATTCTGAAGTTGTTCAAAAATATATATTTACATTTTGATTATTCAATATACTTTGTTCATTTTTATACCAAGTTGCCAAAGCACTACTATTTTGTTGAGTTATTATAGCATAAGATAATCTCCTTGCCCTGTATATTTGTTCCACATTTGGCATCCCCACTACCCCTTGACAAGGTTTTAATATCAATGTCCTAGCATTTATTCTTGAAATTTTCCCCTGCCACACAAATATTCTAAATGATGTCTGTATCATTATTAACCAGGCCTCTGGGAAATTTAGTGGAATTAGTCTAAAGAGATATACCGATTTTGGCAGAATATAAGATTTCAATATATTTACTCTACCCCACCATGAAATTGGGATTTTTTTCCAATCATTAAATGTTTTAATAATTTGTTTTAATAGAGGTAAACAGTTTTTTTTCAACAATTGTTGTGATATCTGAGCTGATTTGGATTCCCAAGTAATTTATTGAGTTTGATTCTCACGTAAATCCATATTTATTTCCCAATATTTCTCTATCCCTCTCTAGAAGATTACTACCAAGCGCAATTGATTTTTCAATATTTAATTTATATCCTGATATCCTGGCAAATTTTTCCACAATATTCATTACAGCCTCTATAGAGCTCTCCTCTAATTTCCTCTAATTTCCATATCTTTCCTTATGGTAGCTGCCAAAATGACATTATGTACAATAGAGGAGAGAACTGGCGGCCCTGTCTAGTTCCATTTACCAATGTGAACCATTCAGAGCTAAAGCCGTTGCCCACAACCTACGCTGATGGACTCGAATACAATGCCATAATTGCATCAAGAATTAGTCCCTCTTAACCATCTGCCATTATTGAATACCGTAGATATCTCCACCCAACCCTGTCAAAAGTTTTCTCTGCAGCTAATGAAATGGTTAGGAGAGGGGTCTTGTTTTTTTAACTATTTTCAGGATATCTATTTCCGAATACTAGTTGTTGTGGACCTGCCTTGAACCAACCCCACCTGGTCCCGATATATTATTTTCCCAATAATCGTATTTAAACGCACTACTATAATTAAAGAGTACAATTTTATATTAACACTTTGAAGCGCGATTGGACGATTAGAAACATCCAAGCAGTTTTTATCTTATTTCAAAATTGGTACTATTGGTCACTACTGTTTGCTTGCAGCATTTCCATTGGGATTGGATTTCTATTTCCAAAATCATTAAAAAGTTTAACAAGTTGGAATTTAATATTAT